TTTAATTTTAGAATATGCCCAAGAACATTAATTTGAGAGACCAACTACTTTCCCAAATCAATTCCTAACATATCCTAACAAACCTTCTACAAGATTGAACAAAAGTACATTTTTACCAATATTGAGCATAGTCCCTAATTTACTCCTAACCCTTTAAAGAAGTCTATCGTTTAAGTGTTTGATAGGAAGTCTAAGGATTTGCACCCTTGCTACAATTTTACAAGTATTGGTTGCAATAATGGTGAAGAAAGGCCTTCATCTCTAAACCACTATATAGTGGTTTGCAATCATCCATGGACCTTAAAATAAGGCATGCTTATAATCTTCTTTAGATGCAAATTGAACAATAAAGTAATCTTGATACTTGTCAACAATGTGAACAACCCTGTCTTTGCTCACTCACGTTGAATCTTATTCTTAAGCATCCAAAAAACATGTTTGCCTATGATATTAATAACAAGAGAATCCCTTCATGGCATGCACCACTCTTCAAACTCTCCTAAGTAACATGGATATAGGGACAAAACTCTAACTTTTCCAATATTCCTTCATGTCAAAACCCGAAAAAATTTCGATGTTAACCAACAAATGGTTTGAAACTCCGTTTGTAAAATCTCATTAGCTTCAGATTGTTCAAAGACCAGACTAATCCTCCAACTGATGGTTTTGAAAATGGTTTGAAAGAGTCATTACCGATATTTTACACAAAACATCGAAGAAAGAAAATTGTTTTCACAAATTCAACTTTGGCCTTCACAGCCAGAGTTAGGTTCAACGGTCGATTAAGTGTGGGGAAGGTGTTAGGCATCCCACGATGTTCAATTTTAATACCCTATAACAATTCTAGCATTATAACGATGTAATTAAGTTTTTAGCCATTTATTTATTAAACATACATGGCTTATTTATTTCTACATTATTACTATTCTACTGCGGATTATCCTATCTACATGATGACTTTCCTAAACATACAATTAAAGTAGTAAATATGGAAAAAAGATTGAAACCTCTGATGCAAGCTATAATATTATCTTCTCATAAAATCATTTGGGGGTACTTTTTGGTAGCCTCCTCGTTCTACAAGAACATCTCTACCACTCAAAAAGGATTTATAGACTATAGAAACTCTTAAATCTTTGCCAAAGGGACTAGAGATCTCTTAATCAGGCTCTCAATGAGTTTTTTTACTTAGAGTGCTTCTAAAAAGAGTCAAAAGGGGAGAGATAATAAGGTGTGTGAGAAATGGAGCCCATAGCACGCTTTTATAGGCACCTAGGAAGGGGAACAACTGTCCCCAATCTCGAAACGATTGTTTCATGTGTGCAAAATGCACTTGGTTGTGTGATCTGGAACGGTCGTTCCCGGCCAAGCACAGTGTGAAGTGGGAATGGTCGTTCTGCCCCTAAGAACGGTCATTCCCAACTCAGGAGAAGGTTTGTAACCCCTTTTGGTGTAGAAGAGCTTCCTAGATGTTTTGTGTTTTGTCTCGGCTTACTTTTATGTCCTCCTCGGCTTTAGGGAGTTGCTTCTTTCATCTTAGAAGCCTCTTGACTTTTGTAGATAAAGCTCAAACAAAACCTGGTGTCTATACTTCAAACATATCATTCTCCTTATAGATCTTATCTTTTGGAAATTCCGTCTCATAGATCAAACTATTGTAATTCGAAAATACTCTCCTTTCTCAAGAAGATAAAAACTCTATCCATATAAGATGTCTTTTGTAACAAGCATTGGTGAAGGATTGCAACCATGTTCTCATCCACCACTATTGTAAGGTCTTTCGTTTTTACTTTCTTTGTACTTCATAATAATGGATTTTCCTCAAAAGGAGTGTTTCTGACCAAAACTCTAGCAGAGCCTTCTCACATACTTCATTTTTTTGTTGCTATCTCAAGCTAGAGTTCTCTAGTAGATACCATATATTTTATTCTTGTTAGTGAACTTCTAAATTAATAAAAAAGATTTAAGAATTTTAATTAATATAAACAATATATTATTATACCTTTTTAATAACATTTATTATTAATATTATTGGATTATTGGATTGATGATTTCCAATTTAATTTAGCTTCTTTATAAAAATTATATTTTTGAATTTGAATATTAATTTGATTCTGTTTTAAAAAGAATTAAAGTAACAATACAATCACAAAAATCTTATATTCTATTCGTGTTAGTGAACTTTATGATTAATAATTTTTTAATAATTTAAATAAATACAATTTATTCCCGATGAAGCAAAAACATACTTAAGTTATGATAGTGCTTGCTCATCCAAAGAACACATGCTAACAATTTCCTAGATTGTCTTTACAAAAACTATAGACTCCCAAGCAAGAGATACCTCACATTTGAGTTGTACATTGGTAGGTAGACATTTCCTACACATTCTTCAAGTCATGAGCTACACTTTATGAGGAATTTTCATTCTCCAAATTGCCATCTAGTCTACACTTGATAATTCAAGATCTCATCTATAGAGTATTCCCATGCATATGAAGTATGTTGATCTCATTGTGTAGACTTCACTATTACTCCCCATATTTAACATTTTGCTCCTAAATGTTAATTTGTCGGTGGTATCCTTAAAATAGCCTCCATATCTCTTTGCTCCATCAAAACAACAAACATCTCTTCATTATTTGGCTTTTCTTTTTGTAAGAAATTGATTAGTTTGGGTTTCTTTAAGATAGTATGCACAAGTTAGATTTTGTAAGACATTTAACAATTTGGTTTTGTAAGAGATATTGTTACATGCAACTTTTATTTTAAATCATGTCCAATTGAAAAAAAATTATGTAGTTGATTTAGATTTATTTGAAATATTAATTTAAGTGGCATATCTATAGGGATTCATGAGAGAATAATGTATATATATAGATAAATTGGGAAGGTTTCGCGAGATATTAGCGAGGGATTCGCGAGGAAACTCAAAAGATATGTTGTGAAGGTTTCGCGAGGGATTAGCGTGGTATTCCCGAGGGAACTCAATCAATATGCTTTGATGGATTTGCGTGGGATTAGCGAAGGATTTGTGAAGGACACACTTGCGAGGGGTTAGCGAGGGATTTACGACGGACATATTTGCGAGGGATTAGCGAAGGATTTGCGAAGAATCTTAATTGATATATTGCGACAGAGTTACGAGAAATTAGCGACAATATCACGAGGGATAATTGCAATAGAGGGGCGACAGATTAACGAGGAAATAATTAAACAATATTTTGCGATGGAGTAGCGACAAAGTAGCGAAGGATATCTTGCGAAGGTTTTGCGACGTGTTAGCGAGGAAATATTAAATGCAATTAGCGGGGGAATTTGGGTTCTACATTTGCGAGCCAATAGCGATGAATTAGCGACACAAATTTGCAACGGACTAGTGAAGCTGGTTGAGAGGGAAAAGCGAAGGAATGTAGCGAGGGAATTGCGAGGGATATGCATCCGTCGCCAATTAGCGACTTGAATTTAGCGAGGGAATAGTCCTTCGCAAATCCCTCGCTACTCCCTCGCCATTTTGTTTAGCGAGGGATTTGCGAAGGATCTTTCCCTCTCTAATTCGCAATTTTCTTGTAGTGTTCCCCTAGGTTCAATTTGAATGAAAATGCCATCCTTCTTTCAAAACCACAACTCTTTCCATGCCTTGATATTCTCTCTATTTCCCATGCACCATTAGATAACCCTCCTTAACCATTGTTTGGGAACTCTAGATGCTCCTTCATGGATAGCTTGGATTGTGGCCTAGGCAAGCCCTCAACAAATCCTCTCGAGTAGTATTTAGCTTGTAGATTCCAGAGACTAGAGCATATGGGTTGGAGATCAACCTCCAACCTTGTTTCCCCAACACTACGATATTAAATTTATGGATATCATGAAATCCCAACCCCTTGTTGTCCTTATTTACTATGAATTTGTCCCACATTAACCAATTTATACTCTTACTATTATGTTTAGTACCCTTGTTAAAAGGAATTCAACATGGGCTGAATTTCATCAGGTAGTGTCATTGGCAGGAGGTACACAATCATATAGTATGTCAAGATGGCTCTCAAAATTGACTTGATTATCACCTACTTCCTCACCTTCGACATCCATTTTCCTCTCTAGGATGGATGTGGTGCCAAACTCAGTCCTTTAGATAAACATAGATTGTCTTCTTACTTCGACCCATCATTGATGAAACCCCAAGATATTTTCTTATGCTAAAACTTTCCATCACACCTAGGATATCAATAACTAACTCTCTTACACTCTAAGCTACATTCCTCTTAATTTGAGCAACATAACTAGCAACCTTCCTTTTCTTATATAAACTTAGGAACTGAAAAAAGAGAAAGAAAAGGAATGATATAGGAGATAGACTTGCTAAATTCTTTTGAAAGAAAAATATTATTATAACACCCCAATTTTTTATTAATAAATTCATCTATATATATTAAACATAAATAACTATTTTTTGCAAAAGAATTTTTAGAGGTTTCCCTTTAATGAGAGTGTTTTTATGCTTTATTCTTTGAGGAAAGAGGTTTTAAGGATTCTTTTAACTTTTTATCTAATTTAATTGTTTTTTTTACCATATTCATGTATTTATGAATTAAATTTTAATACTCGAAATAAGTTATCCATAATTAAAATATGCCATAGTATAAACTATTTATCATAAATTTTAAATATAATTTATATATTTAAAATACTTATTTGTATGTATAATTTATTATAAATTTTAGTTATATATAATAATCATTTAGCACGTGTATATAGGCTAGCACTAGTAATTATATAAAGTTTTAATTGAATAAAACATTTTTTTTGGAAAATATTTTATGTTAAATGGAATTTATATTTAAAGGCTTATTAGAAAATATTTTTTTTTATGAAAATAAATCTATTTTAAAAGCTATGGATCTTTTCTCTCACAGGCCCAATACGCCTTTTTATAAAATGAGTATCTTAGGTTAAACCTAATTCACTTTATTTATGTTTTCTGCCTTGAAACCCTAATATCCCAAAGCGCCATGATTCTATAGAGGAATCATCAAGAGGTTTCTATCTCGCTTATTGCTGGCACACTTGCTTGTGGAGGTTCTTTTCAAGTAAGAGGGACTACGTTGTCTCACTCATAAACATAGCACAAATTGTAGGTAAAAGGGTTAGTTCGAGAAACAATGATTATGTTTGATCTTGATATATATAAGTGTGTGATTAATTTTTTGGATGAGTTATGAACACCCTGAAACGCCTTGATTGTTTGAATTTTATGTTGTTTATTGTGAATATTTTGACTTCATGATAATTAGGGTTCATAAGTGATGCTATGATGGATGATTGTTTAAGTGTGAATTGTTTGATTTAATCAATGATTTGTTAAACTCTTTTGTCTTGATATGTGAATTATTTATCACCCATGGCTAATTAAATTCTTGTATTGGATTGGGTTTTGATGGTTATAGGGTTCTTGAGATGGAGACTAATTGAATTAAGCATAAATCAAATATAGTAAAGGGATTAATAAGATAGGAAATGGATGGATTCAAAGGTTTTAAGCCATAAACCATAATTGAACATAAAGAAATGGATTTGAGGCTAATAGAATCCTAAGAATAAGGCAGTCACTTCTCTATGAGAATTTGTGAAATCATGGACATTTGTGTTGTGACGGTGCATTATGGATTGATTTTTTAAGAAATATTTTGTGAATTTGACTAGTGAAGGTCATAAAGGGTTGTTGACCCTAACCTTGGGAGAGATTACATCTAATGACGAAGCTTCAAAGGTCCATATTGATTCCATATGAGCCAAAGTGTACCACTGTAATTGAGTGGCCCTGATTAGTCAATGAAGGTGTGGTAAACTGACATTATTCTAGGTTTGAGAGATATGTGGAACATTTACTCCTTGTCCACTTTTGTAATGTTTTGAATGGTATTATATGCAGATGAAATAGATGATTACAATACATTGCATTTTATCATATGTGCTTGCAATTGATCTTTATAATTGATCTTAATATGCTTGGATGTTATAATTTTGTGCATATTCTATTCATAACACATGTTATATCTTGAGTATGATATGAGATGTATCTCACTTCCTTATTTGCTTTTATTTGTGTTTGGGTTAATCATCATTTGTATGTGAAACTAATATAAATGATAATGATGATATACTAAAGAAGGCATATGTCTCTTAAGTATTTTTTTGAGAGTCATGCTCTGATAGTTGTGTATCAGGGATACCACTCATAAACCTTAATATAAATGATTTATTATTTTAAATTATAAATGTTTTATTACATTTTGTAATAACATTTGAAGTATCAAACCATTTTGTAATCCATTATGTTTTAATTAAATTTTGTTTATAATGATGACATGTATGTGATGTTCTCTGTTCATGGTAAGATTTTTAAAATAAGTTATTTTTAATTAAGCATTTCACACTTGTTTTTTTTTATAACAAATGATTTCGAGAGTAAAAACATACAAGTAAAGAAAAAAAAAATTTAAAAAACTATCTCAACCTTAAGGTGTGACCAAGTCAAAGAGACTTGACCATGAATAACAAAATATCTAGTTTCTAAAGAAGTAATAAATTATTTTATCTTATTTTTTAAATTTAACATCCATTGATAAGAATTAATCTACTCAATTAAGAAATTTATGATGATTATTACTATAATTTGTATTTTTACATAATTATTGATGATTGAAAACTAGTAGAAACTTATAAATGAAAATTTCTTACTATATCAATAAATAAAACATACTTTTCTTCATAAAGATAAGGAGACTTTCACAAAATATGTCTAACACTTTAATTTACTTGATAAATATGAAAAAAGAAGATTATTTTCTTTCTTTTAATTGTGAGATTTAAGATAATACTTGTCAATATAAGTGAAAGAATATTTTTCACATCATTGAAAATTAACTTGTTTTTAAACATCTACTTCCATCTACATTTATCTTTTTAAATTACTTCATTTTAATCTATTTTCTTAATTATAACAATATATAAATGAGATATATAGTTTTAGTCTCCAATTTTTAGTAGACAATTTTACCTCTTAATATTATAATAATCTTTTCTAATTACTTCATTTATTTAGTTTTATAAATGACCTTAAGTTCATTTTTTGGGGTTTCATTGGATAAATTTTCAAAAAACAATTTTCATTAAAAGATCTCATGAGTCCCCCTTTTTCCACATATCACACACTACCAAGAACTACATTAAGGGTTTAGGATTCTTAGCTTTGGAGTTTGGTTCAAGAATTTTCATTGAAAATCTTTGTTCAGGTGAAGGAGCAACAATTCTTTGATCACCAAGCACAAAAAACATGGTGCCACTACTCAATCCACACAAGCTACATTGGAGTGGAGTTTGGGGCTAACCACAGAGGACAAGAGTAGTTTTGTGAGACGACTCAAAACATTATTTTTCAAGTTATTCACAAGTTAGGTTAGTTTATTAAACCTAATTTGCATCCTTATTGAATTTTTACAATACAAGCCCATTTTTTTTTGTCCAATTTAATTAAATATACTATCAATTAATTAAATCTTATTTAATTCATTAACTATTAAATTAAATCCTATTTAATCTAAGATTTACTTCGAGTCTTTACTCAATTTGTGTGAGCTCGTAGATTCTCACTTAATTGACAATAATATTTAAATATCATGTCAAATATATTACTAAATATTATAGAGAGACATTGTCATCTATCAATTAGGGGTGACAAAATGGGCTATGCCCCACAGGCCTGTTAAAAATTTGCGGGTTGAATTAGTTATTCTAGCCTGCTAGCTTGCTTGGCCCAACAAGGCCAAATGATAGGTCGAGGTAAGTTGTCGTTGACCTGCCTATTTTATTTTTAATTTTATTTATTATTTTTAATGTAAATTTAATTAAGTCACTTCAGATTTGATTTATAATTTGTGATTTGTTGTGCATTTGATTTTTTTTACCATATGTAATTTGAGATTTGTTGTGTAATAAATCTATTAGAAGAGTCTTGAATATTATTATAATTACATATCTATTTTGTTTAGAGCTGTCAAAACGGGCCAGCCCGGCCCGTTTGGCCCGGCCTACCTCAACCCACTTTTTAAGTGGGCCAACCCAGCCCGGTCCACAAAATATATTATGCAAATTTTTCTAGCCCGGCCCGGCCCACCACGGGTTGGTGGGCTAAACGGGCCGCCCACCAACCCACCTGATTTAAAAAAAAATTATAATTTAAAATAAATTTCAATATAAAATAATATTTAATCTAAAGTAAAAATTATTAAACTAAGTATCATGGATACAACATTAAAATTAAATTAATAAGTGTGCAACTTTAAAAATTAAAACAAAAAATAAAAAATCTTTCATGAGAGTGATTATTCATCAATATTAAATTTTATTAGAGGTTTGGATAGATAAATTTATAGTAATTTCATATTGTTTAACATTGATTTTATCTTTATCTATAAAAAAATGATATCTTATTAAAATAATGCATATATAATAATAAATAGTTAAGTGAGTTGTTAGTGGATTGTTAGTGGGTTTAGGGGATGGGTTGGTAAGTGGGTCAGGTGGGCCGCCCGGCCCACCACGGGTTCAACCCGGGTAGGCCGGGTCGAAAGTGGGCCGGGTCACATTTTTTGACCCATCATAATTTTTTTCATTTTTTTGGCCCGGCCCGGCCCATTTTCAAGGTGGGCCGGGTTGACCCACGAGCTGGAGCCCACTTTGACAGCTCTAATTTTGTTATACAAAAAATTTAAGATTTGTTATACAACAAGTCAAATCAATTATAATTTGAGTTTTTATTATTATTTAGGTACACTAATTTATGATTTATATAGATCTTTTAGATATTGAGAAAAAAATATGTTACGCGAGTAACTCATAATAAGTTTGTAACTTTTTTCCTTTTTGTTTTTTGTTTTTAATTTTTTAATTTTTTATTTAATTTTTTGTTATTATTTTTTTTTGGGTTGGCTGTCAACTTGCCCTTAGGGAGGGTGGACTAAGGTGTCTAACTCATTTTTGTTTGATGGGTTGACTTGACTCGATCTGACCTATTTTTAGTGTATAAATGGTGAGTCGAGTTTAAATAGATTTGATTGATCAATTTTGTCATTTCTATTAAAAATGTATTATTATCACCTAATTAATAAAAAAAAATCGATAATCTAATTTCAGCCTTTTACAACCATAATTATTATAGAGTAATTTATTGTTTTCTATATATGCGAAAGATGACACATGAAGGTGTCCTAAGGTAGTGATTGTAATTTGTACTATAAAATAATAAAAACATAGATGCTTTCTAATATGAAGTATTAAAGTAAGTGTCTCATGGATGAGACACTCAAATGACCGAGAATAAGAGGTTTATAATTGAAAAAATATATATATAAAATATTTGAGGAGTCACGACGATACTACGCGTGCGATCAATGATAGTGACAACGTTGCATGTATGGTCACGATGACGACACTACTTGTGCGATTACAGTGATATTGCGCATGCAATTGCAGTGACGACATTGTGCATGCGACCATAGTGACAACACTGCTTGTATGATCACTATGACACTGTGTGCAGTGGCGGATCTTCATAGGGACAGGGGGGAGCCACGGCTCCCCCAAACTTTTCTAAATTTCTTTTATATATATATATATTAATATTATATTTATATATTATTATATCATTAATTATAATAAAACTAAAAAAATTAAGTTAAAAAAAGAGAAATTCTATTATTTTTTTAACTAATAAAAAAATTAATTTATAATTTTATATATATATGAAAATAATCTGGTACTCCTAAAATTTTTTTTCAAGTTCCGCCACTGACTGTGTGTGTGGTCACAATGACAATGCTGCGCATGCGATCATGATAACAACGCTGTGCATGCAACCACGATAATGATGCTACATGTAATGGTTCAACGAGGATGAGTTGAAAAAAAAAATATTTTACTAATTATATAAATTGTTTTTCTTTAGTCTCGTACATTATTTTTTTTTTATTAATATATTAAATAGATAAAACTAATAATTCATGGATAATTAGGTACTAGTGTATATATAACTCTTCCCTTCCGAGGTAAAGTATGAAGATAGTCTAATGGAATTATCATTAGGCATTACATGTGGATCACTCAACACACCCAAAATGCACAACTCTCTTGTTCGGTGGAAAGCTGCGGAACCAAGGTACTCAGAAGTCAGCACGTACACAACAAATATCAAATGTACGAGATTATCATAGTGAGATAAACCATAAAAAATTGTAAAGTATATAGGAAGCTTGTTTGAGATGACGGACGGAGATAAAGGAAGCTTGTTTAGGTTTAGGAAAGATGAAAATTGAATTTTGGTGATGGGAGCTTAGGTTGCAATTGGAGAGAGATTTTCAATCAGATGCATGGTTGGAATTTAAATGAAAGAGTTTATTTACTACAAGAGTGTGAAATGAAAGGGTAATTTTTTTTTTTTACAGTGTTAGTTTTGTAAAAGAATAACTGTAACAAGAGATGTTATAATTTTGACCTAGTCTTATGTCTCCTCTATATATATATATATATCTTAGTTATGTACGATGCATTATCAAATGCCCTAAAATGAAAACGGCGCCTTGTGGGAACTGATGATTGAAGTTCTGTTGAGGTTGGTTGCAGGTGGAGTCTGTTGTTCGTTTCTTATGTGTGTGAAAGTTATGGTTTTCTCTCATATCTGATGGAAGGGCTTGTTCTTGATATCCCCTTCTGTTCCTGAATTCAGATCCATAGACTTTAACTTTCTGCCTCCAAATCTCATGATTTTCGTATCCTAGTTTTTTATTTTTTTATTTTTAACTTTTGTCCTGTTTTGAAGTTTTTATCTGTGGAATCCATTCACAAGTGAGGGTACCTTGAAAATTGCTTAATCTATGGGGTTATGGGCTGTGGGGGAGAACATGAACAACCATTTTGTAGAAATATGAGAGAAAGCCATGACTTACTCACACATTTTGAAACAAAGTGGTTAGATTGTTGGAACAGATCGCAGATCTGGATTTACAAGGGACAACTGCTAGATCATGGATCCTATTTTAATGGTCCATATAGATCTGAGGGGGCTGTGTACAAAGTTTCTGTTTTCACTCTCTTGTCCATAAGGTTTTGATATTATTTTTGATACTTTTGCTATTTTCTTGTTGCTCATCTTATATTAAGAATAATGATTTTTTTTTTGTCTTGATATAAAGCAATCAAAAGTAACAGACAGAATGATAAAATTGGTGTTTTATCATTATATCATGTTTTATGATTATTCCATGTAACTGTGTCGGATTTAGATTCTCTAATTTTGATATATAAAAGTTATACTAACTTAATGCATTTAAATCGTTAGATTTTTAATAATAAATTAGATTATGACACGTGTGTAATATATATTTTGACTTAAATGTATATATGTCACAATCTGATTTATTATTATTAATCTAACGATTTAAATATAATAAGTTACCATAATTTTCCTTTCATAAAGTTAGAGGATCTATTTCTGACCGTGTTGTTGTTAGCAATTTATATCTCCCCTTTTTAACTATTTTTTATTTTTATTTTTATTTTTTTAAAATTTTTAATTAATTTATTTTTTTTACCTTAGCCTTAATAGTGATTTTGTTGCATTGCTTGATGTGAATCCGAATTTTAAATTGGCACAATCAGCTGATACCTGATAACACCATTGATATGAATCAGATACAATTGCGAGTTAACTAACAGTTTATGATCCCAAGTAGATAAAAGGGTTAACTCTATTACAAGCTTTTTTACTAGATAAACTTATTTAAACTCTTAAAGGCTCTGGAGTCAAGAAACAAGTAAGGAAGTTTGAAATCAAATGTAATTTTTACTTCATTGACTCCATAATGTAAATGTTTTATCATGACTCAAATGATTTAAAAAATAATTTCTTTTTGAAATATTTTCATTTTAGGAATTATGTTTTTATGAAATTATATAATTTATTAATTTGATCATTTATGTAGCTTAATCCTATTTAGTATTAATGTACTATACACTTTATTATTGTATTTTAATACTTTGCCTCTCTGCCCTACGATTTTTGAATCCTAGGTTTGTGTATAAGGTTTTACTTTTATCTTGTCATTGAAGTTTCTACCTGTGAAATCCATTCACAAGTGAGGGTACCTTGAGAATTGTTCAATCTATGGGCTATGGGGGATAACAAGAACAACCATTTTGTATAAAATATAAGAGAAAGCCATGACTTACATACACATTTGAAGCAAAGTGTGTGTGGAATTTTGGACTAAGACTATTGTCGTGTGTAAATATAATCTGCAAAAGTGATGATACTGTTGGAACAGATTGCAGATCTGGATTCTAATGGTCCATATAGATCTGCCGTGGCTGTTTACAAAGTCTCTGTTTTCACTCCCTTGTGATAGCGAGCAAGCTCAAGAAGAAGGTCCTATAGGTTGTGAAATATTTTCTTATACTTCTACTATTTTCTTGTTGCTCCTCTTATATTATATTATTAATGAATTATTCTGTCCTGGTATATTAAACCAGAATGATGAAATTGCTGTTTCATCATTATATTATGATTTATGATTATTCCATGGTTTATTGTTTGAAACTTATTTCTCCAGTTCTTCATTGGCTTTCTAGCTTAGCCTTAATGGTGATTTTACTGCATTGCTAGCATGATATGAGAGGACAAATTTTAAATTGGGACACAATCAGTTGATACCTGATGACGGCATTGATATGAACCAGAGAGTTACAATACAATTTTATCATTAATGTACAATGGTGATATTCAATTTAGTATATGCTACATGATAACATTTTGTGAAGTCAATATTATCAATCTTGGCTTCCATGCCAAATCAAAGGTGTTTATTTTTATATTCGTGTCAATATTTTATCAATATAAAATTACTTATTTACTCTGTATTGGCATTGATATGAATTTGCCAAGAAATGTACCATAGAGGCAGGAATTGGCTTATCTATTGTAGACTGAGAATGACCTCCTGTGCTGGCTACTATTGGTCTTTTGAATCTTTTATTTGTGGCTTCTCAAGACAGATTTGTAAAATTGCATGCATGCTTTGAGGCTGATGGATGATGATAGGATCAAAGCTTTCATCTCTCTCTTTTCTAATATGTAATGAGAATGCTAATTCGAATTGTTGATTATTAATCTTAAGATATCAAGCTATACAATTTCTGAATGTTTGAGACTTTCTGAATCTTAAGATCGTTGAATGTTTTGAACGTGGTCTGTGATGTGACGGTTGATATGTGTTCCAAATTAGTATATTACTCTAAGGTGGTGCAGCCGAATGTGTTCCACTCACACCTATGAAAAATCTCAGCTTCTAGCAATCTTCCTTCATACAGCAACAGTCTTGTATTAATATGTGGGGTTGTTTGCCCCTTATCACATTGAAGTTTATGCCACTTATCTCTTCTTGAATCTTGTTCAGGAACCTCCAACATTGCTTGTAAAACTGTACAAGTTGAAATCAAATGTGATAGCTACCTAAAATTTAAGCTGACGTATCTACGACTAATAACAAGATATAGTTAAAAGAAAATACTTCATTTCATGATTCATTTCCATGGGCTAAGACTCATTAAATACAAACAAGTAAAATGGCTAGTACAGCACATCAAAATAGCCGTTGTGAATTAGAAGTTGTTAGTACAATTAATTCAACATTTATGCTTTTTAATGAAGAGTCAGGGTTCGATTTGTCTTTGAGGGGTTTATACTCCTAATTATATATATATGAAAAGAAATAGTTGTGGAGACAAAAAAGGCAAATCTAAAATTTAAATGTTAAAATATTTTTTTAGTCTTCATTGTTTTATTTATTTTACCTTTTACTTTCTATAGTTCAAAATAGATTTTTTTAATCTTCATACTTACATTTCAATCATTTTTTAGTGCTTATAGTTTAATATATATTTTTTAGTTTATATACTAGCAATTTTAAAATTCTTAGTCTTCATTGTTATTTTTTTTTAATAACATTGTCTATTTTGTATTGTTATGGTAGAAATCTTCAATTTTGAGGATGAGAAAATGGTATCTCAACAGTGAATGTTGCATGTGAGAGTAAAAGATAAGCATGAAATATTTGGAAACCTAATTTAGAATAATTTTAGCAAAATAAATTTGACATCAAACATATAAAATTGAATTAATATCTCTCACATCAATATCAAAGTGACGATGTTAAAAAAAAATGAAAGATAAAATCTAAAAGGATTAAAAAACTAAAAGTAAAAGATTTATTTTAAATTATAAAGACTAAATATGATTAAAAAAGATAAGTATAAAAAATAAAAAGATATATTTTAAATTATAATTACTAAAAGGCCAAGCAAGTGAAATTATAAAGATTAAAAAAATATTTTAACCAAATTTAAAATCATTCATCGGGATGGATTTCTTTGTTAAACGTTTGGGTTCAAAATTGTGGGGCCTATCAAAATGTTAGTTGTTTTGGTAAATCAACCCCTAGTGCCACATGGTTCTTTGGGAAAGAAATAAAGCAATGTTAGCAAATAGATGATGCCAACATGTCATGTACCAACATTGTGCTTCCTCTTGTCTAAGAAGCCTTCTTTGTTCTTGAGCTTGAAGAGCATTTACGAGCTCTGTCAAGCTTATCATGGAGAGATCCTTAGACTCTTTAAGTAAAGAAATCTTGGATTCAAACCTTTCAGGTAAGACAATCAAGACTTTTTCAACAATTCTGTTGTTTGAAAGTTTTTCTCCCAATAATTTGATTTAGTTTACAACTTTAATCAACTTGGTCATGAAATCTTTTATGTTTTCAGCCTCATTCATCTTCAAGGCTTCAAACTCTTTTTTAAGGTTAAGAACTTGCATTTGCTTGGTCCTTTTATTTCCAAAGAGCTCCTCTTGAAGCTTCTCCCAAACTTCCTTTGCTATATCTAAATTTGAAATTCTCATAAAAATATCATCATCCACAGTTGAATGCAAGATGGTAAGAGCCTTGGCTCTTTTGGCAACTTGCTCACTATGAAATTTCATTTGAGCAACAGTGGGATTTTCTGGCAAGGGAGGAGGTTGTTTCTACCACTTCCCAAAGATCATAGGCTCTCAATTGAGCTCTTATCTTCACAGCCCAAATTTCATAGTTCTTTCCTATAAATACAGGAGGTGATAGTATTGAAATATTGTTGGAAGCCATTTAGGAAAATGGGTATTAAGGAAGTAGGTTGAGTTTTTTGGTTTTCTCCTCAATTGGGTCTCTCTTGTTCTTCTCTCTATTTTTTTTATGGTTTCTCTCACAGGTCTCTCAATGATCAGAAAATGCTCTTGATACCATTTGTTGCATAAGAGGTGTTTTTGAATAAAAAATGTGAAGGGGTTTTCATTGATATATTTTCTGATGAGTTTTTGACACACACACACACACATATATATAAAGAGAGAGCGCATAAATAAATACATAGCAACACATTTTCAACTACCTAACAAGTATAGGTAACTTGTCCAACATCATTATATAGCTGAACACACTCCAAAAGGTATGGGTCTTACACTAGAATAGACTGACAAACACACCAACTACAACATAAATTTTAGATAAAAGTTCACATCATAAAATATTATTGACATAAGAAATTTTAGCTGCTTTAATAGGATCCACAAAGATGAAATAGAACATACTCCACGTCAACACTGAACAATTGTTTATAGAAATTAATAACCATATTTTTCAACCAACTAGAGTTAGTTTCCCATACCCCATCCTCTCTTTGTAGGGTCTTGTAGGTGTTCTTCTTTCTTCGAATGATAGTTGTACCATGAAATTATTTGGTATTCCTATCTTCAAAGGCTAATGATTCAACTATAAATTTCTGAAATCACATAAATTCTTCCTGAATAAGGGTCTACTTATGCTCTCTCCAAGTGTTGTCATTCTAATCTCTAAGGAAGGGGTATCATGGTGATGAATTCTCACTAATACAAAAGAGACATTTTACGTATGTTATTTTGGACTTTTTGCATCGAAAAAAAGTTTGACGTCAATGCAGGAGACGTAAATTTACGTCAGGTGTTTTAGCCAACGTAAAATTACGTCGGGCATCCTTCACGTCCGATGTAAAATGGTTGACAAACAAATAAAAAAAATAACCTCAATCCGTGAACACGTTCTAAAAATACCCAAATGCTTCAATCCAATCGGAGAGATAGGTCTAGAATAAAAAATAGGTCTTGTCGCCGCGCACCGTGAACGGAAAACGCCCAAAGGTCTCGCATTGTTGTTGCTGGAAACTGCTAGAGAGAAAAACAGTGTCAAAACACTTGCGCAAGAATAAAACAACTTTTTTACATAGAAAGATCAACACATGCATGAAAGCACTAACCTCAATTCGTGAAAACACCTAAATGCTTCAACCCAATCGGAGAGATAGGTTTAGAATCAAAAATGGGTCTCACCGCCGCTATCACGTTGCTCACCTTGACCGAAAAACACCTAAAAGTCTCATATCACTGTCGTCGAAAATCACTGGAGAGGAAAACAATGTAAAAATACTTGCGTGCTTGAAGAAGACAAAGGTGCTGAGGGGGAATAAAAGTAAAAACATCTCTTTTACGTCGGGCCAAAAGGGGTTCGACGTAAAAATTGAAATCTACGTGAGACTGTACTCCATATCTGATGTAGATTTTAATTTTTATGTTGGACCCCCTTTAGTCCGACATAAAAAAGTTTATATTAATTTCAAAAATACTATCGCATATTTTTTACGTTGGATATTTTTATGACCGATGAGAAAACATTGATGTAAAAGACTGATTTTCTACTAGTTTCTACTCGAGATTTCATTCAACCTATGAAGTAGAGAAATTTTTCTACGAACAATGTTACTAACCAACTTCACCCAAAGTGGATAATGATAAGATTTTAAAGGGTCCAAATGGTGAACTAAAGCCTCCTGAAATATGATCCTCCAATTTATATCAATAAGCATTATATGAAGCCTCACTCGAAGGTTACCTCTATGCCATGTGAAAGGGTAGCCTTGGAAGCCTACATCAATCAACTAACTATTCTACACAAATTCTTTAATCCGTAACATAACTCTTTGGGATGGATTCGTGGAGCCACCTTCCCTCTCATAAGCGTGGAGGATATAATTAAAATCTCACTTGGGTCAACTTAATAATTGAATGTTGGCACTAAAAGCATGAGAACTTGAATTTCATCCTCGTCATCATTATTGTAATCTCTCTATTAATAATAAAAAAATATAAACGCAATGTGCAACTACCAACATGAAACATATATTAATAAATTAAAAATTAGTTATCATTAAAGTTTGAGATAATGAAAAATAAAATCGTAATGTTGATTCAATTGTTTTTATCATTAACATTGATTCAATTTGAGAAATATGTGAACATCGATGATTAATTGAAAATTCTTCAAAAAAAAAAAAAAAAACATGTTAGCATGCTTTGTAAAATTATTAACACTCTTCTACAATATTCATATTAGGTTGTTGATTTGTGCAATGCATGAGATAAACAAAATATATGAGTATAAAGGTTGATTTATTTATTTTTAATAATATGTATAATT